TACGTCACGTTAGTATACTATATATATATATTATATATTATATATATAGATATATGATAGATAGATAGATTAGATAGATAGATATAGATAGATATAGATATAGATATAGATAAATAGATACACACACACACACACACACACATATATATATATATATATATATATATATATATATATATATATATATATATATATATATATATATACATACAAACTCGTATTGGACCAGCGTTTGCAAACTATACCTCAGAGAGGTTGCGCACATTGTGGAAGGCCTATGTCCAAGGCTTAAAGATAAAATACATACATAGATACATATACATATATATATATATATATATATATATATATATATATATATATACATATATATATACATATATATATATATATATATATATATATATATATATATATATATATATATATATATATGTATATATATATATATAATGTATATATATATTTGCACAGATGCTTGCAAGCAAGGTCTAGGGGAGTCCTGGCGTAGCCCCTGAGCGCGAGCAGACGCGTGGGCGCGGGCGGGAGCAGGCAAGCCGCCCTCGTCCAGCTCCTCATAAATACAAGGGAAGTGTTGCGGGCGGCGGGCGAGGGCGGGCGGGCGGCGAGGGCGCTGCCAGAGGGGAGTCGTGACGAACGGTCGCATTTGATTTATTATCACATCATCTATTATTGTCAGAAAATGGGGAATGTATGCATTCAAGCTCATGTCCATTTATTTGCAGGTGCGTCCGGCGTCTGGCAGCCGCAGTGAGAAAGGAGGGAAGTGGCAGACAGACGCACAGACAGACAGGCGTCCGCGCAAGAGGGACAGGGAGTCCAGGCAGCCCGAACTGGTCAGCTTCAAGACAATCGCAGTGATAGACTTAGAGCTTATCCATTTGTTTCCCTTCTGCTTCTCCTCCGCTCGGGGCTGTACACGGGAACTGACGGAAGCGCCGCCAGGAAAATCGTTCCCCGAGGCCCAGCTTTCCGAGGCGCGTCCGCGAGACCTTTTGGGAGCGACAGTGATGCTTGTGCCGCCCCGCGCGCACGAGGAGGAAATCGGATTGCTCAAGACATGTCGCCCGTTGTGACTGACATCTGCTTAAATCGAGGACGCCGCCAAGCCCCGGGACAAAATGGGCGCCTCTAATCTCCGCGTCGCTGCCACAAGACAGGCGAGAGAGTGCTTGGAAAAGCCCCGCGGCTCGAGGAGTAGCCATGTCTGAGCGGGAACGCGAGCGCCCCCCCGCCGCCATCGGCCATGGCGGGGGCCAGAGCGCCCATGGAGGGGGACGGAAGGCGTGCGAACGCGGGGTCAGCGCACCGGGGCGAGCGGGACCACAGCGCGACCTCGCCCGGAGGCCCTCCCCCGCCTCAGTGTCTTACGGGATGCATCAAACCCTGCTCTACCTCACCGCTTACGTTCTCGGCTGGCGTGGTCACGTGACCGCCGCCGCGGGGCCGCGAACTTTGCCGGAGGCGCCGCGGACGTGCTCGGACGCGCCCGAAGCGCCGTGGAACCGGACAGTGTGGAAAAGGAAGAGTTCCCAGAGCGTTGCTTGTGTGATATTATCTTTAGCTGTGCTGTGCTCGTTCCCCGCGGCGACGGAGGCCTTCTGCCCGATCGGCTGCGACTGCGACGACGCCAGCCTCACCGTCAACTGCCAGAACACGAGCCTGGAGGTGGTGCCGATCCTCCTGAACCCCCGCGTGCAGACCATCCTCCTGACGCGCAACCGCATCAAGGCCCTGTCGCGCGCCCTCGTCTTCTACACGGACCTGAAGGAGCTGGACATCTCGCACAACGACATCGCGACGCTGGGCTCCAAGAACTTCGAGTCGCAGAAGAGCCTGGCGGAGTTGCGCGTGACCCACAACAAGCTGAGCGCTGTGGAGGCGGCGTCGCTGGAGGGCCTGGTGGGGCTGCGCGTGCTGCTCCTCAACGACAACCTCATCTCCAGCGTGGACGACGGCGCCTTCCGCGGCCTCGTCAGCCTCATCGAGCTCAACCTCTCCAACAACAAATTGAAGAGCTTGCGCGAGAGCTCCTTCGCCGCGCTGCCCAGCCTGTGGACGCTCAACCTGGGCGGCAACCTGTTCGACCGCGTGCCCAGCTCCAGCCTGCTGAACCTGTCGTCCCTCCTGGAGCTGGACCTCAGCGACAATCAGATCTCCCAAGTGCCTGGCCGCGCCTTCCAGGGCGCCGCCAACCTCGCCTACATCCGCCTCGACAAAAATAACATCAGCGCCGTCAACCCGGCGGCCTTCTGGGGCCTCTCGGAGCTCCGCCGCCTCGCCGTGGCCGACAACAGGCTGGAGCAGGTGCCCACCCTGTCCTTCAGCGGCCTGCCCGACCTGCAGGACCTCGACCTAAGCGGCAACCTGTTCGAGGAGCTGCCCGAGGACGGCTTCAACGGCCTGGCCTCGCTGGTGAGCCTGACCGTGTCCCGGTGCCCGCGCCTCAGCAGGGTCAGCAGCGAGGCCTTCCTCAGCACGGCCCAGCTGGAGACGCTGGTGCTGAGCCACAACCCGCGCCTCACCTCCCTCGCCCCCACCACGCTCACCTCGCTCCTCAACCTGCGCCATGTGGACCTGCGGGCGTGCGGCCTGCTGCACATCACGCCCACGCAGGTAAGAGTCCCTCAGCGCCCAGCGTGCCAATTTGAACATTGACTGGGCGGAAGGGTTGAGTGCGAGCGGACATTTTCTCATTCTTCCGTGAAATGGAAATGTATTAAGGGCGCGGAACCAGATTGATATTGCTCTTGCCATTTTTAGGGAAGTGTTCTGGTATATTACCTCTCCGCGTTTCGTAATTCCAATAATGCATTTCCCCGCCAGTAATAATGGTGAGTGGAAAAAGAAAATTATACGATTACGGCTTCTCGAAGCGTGTCCCTTGCACCTTCTCCCAGCCCCTGTGTTCTCATTACACTTCGAGGTTAATTAATATTTTCTCATCATTTTCTTTTTCCATTTACATTTTCTTTTAACTCTCGAAATAGTTTTGAGACATTCGCATCTGAGGAGCACCTTAGGCAGCCATTAACCGGTCCTTCTGCGCCTTCCCCAGGTCCCTCTGCAGCAGCTGGCGAGTCTTATGGTGTCGGGGAATCCCCTGCACTGTAACTGCTCCATGGTGTGGCTCTCCCGGATCGCCGCCGATGATAACGCCACCCTCACCGTCGACTCGCCCACCTGCGCCAGCCCGCCCAACCTCTATGGTGAGTGGGCGGCACGGGCGCCCCCCCCCTCGCCTCCTTATCTCAGAGTGGTGGCGCTGTTCGTGGCACTCGTTGTCCCCCTCTCCGTCTTTCATTGCTCTTCCTCTTCACTTTTCCTTTTCATTTTCCCTCCTCATCTCTCCTCCTCCCTCCCCCTTACCTTCCTCCTCATTCTTCTTCCTCCCTCTCTTCTGCTACCCTTCCCTCTGTCCTTTCACCTCGCCCTCCGATTCAGTTTCCGCTCTATCCAGCTTTTGCTTGATCGCTGTGCTGCATTTTCCCCTTTCTCCCCCCCCCCCCATCCCGGATTTTCCTCTTCTCTGTTCATTCCTCCCTTCTCTTTCTCTCCTTCCTCTCCCTCTTATTTTTTCCTTCCTCCCTTTTATCTATTCTCCCTGTTATCCCTTCTCCCTTTTATTCTCCTGACTTTTTATCCCTTCTTCCTCTCCCTTTTATCTCCAATTTTTATCTCCTTCTCATACCTTCTCCGTTTCTCAACTTCATCTCCCTCGTTTTATCTGTACTTCTCTTCTCCCCCTCTTTACTCCCACTTCGTCCCTTCCTTTTCTCATTTCATGTTTATCCTCGCTCTCACCCTTCTTTACCCCTTCCTCTCCTTTCGTCATCCCTTCTTCCTTTGCTCCCTTTCTCCTCCTTTCTCCTCCTTCCTTCCTTCCTCCATCTCCTTTCTTGCCCCATTAGCGCCCTATTTCATCCCCTTAATTTCTCCTTGATTCCCTTCACTCCCTTCTCCTCTTGATTTTCCCCTCCCCTCCTTAATTTCCCTTTATCCCCTAAACTCACCTCGTCCCTCAATTCCCTTATTTCCCCCTCGACCTTTGATTTTTTCCCCTAATTCACCTTAACACCCTCGCCCCTTAATTATCCCCTTAACTACCATGCCCCTTCATCTTCCCCTTCCCACCACTAAACTCCCCTCAATTTTCCTTCTCATCCCCTCGCCCCTTGATTTCCCCCTCGTAGCCCCCTCGCCCCTTAATTCCCCTTCCCCTTGACTCCCCTTAGCCCCTCGCCCCTTATTCCCCTCGCCCCTTAGCCCCTCGCCCTTAATTCCCTTCGCCGCCCCGTGACTCCCCTTAGCCCCCTCGCCCCCTTAATTCCCCTTCGCCGCCCCTCTCCCCTTAGCCCTCGCCCCTTAATTCCCCTCACTCCCCTTAGCCCCCTCTCCCCATCCCCTTCGCCGCCCCCTAACTGCCCTTAGCCCCCTCGCCCCTTAATTCCCCTTCGCCGCCCCGTGACTCCCCTTAGCCCCCTCGCCCCTTAATTTCCCTTCCCGCCCCCCCCTCCCCTTAGCCCCCTCGCCCCTTAATTCCCCTCGTCCCCTTAGCCCCCTCCCTTAGCCCCCTCGCCCCTTAATTCCCCCTCGTCCCCTTAGCCCCCTCGCCCCTTAGCCCCCTCCCCTTAATTCCCCTTCGCCCCCTCCCCTTAGCCCCCTCGCCCCTTAATTCCCCTCGTCCCCTTAGCCCCTCGCCCCTTAATTCCCCTTCGCCGCCCCGACTCCCCTTAGCCCCTCGCCCCCCCTCGTCCCCTTAGCCCCCTCGCCCCTTAATTTCCCCTTCGCCCCTTCTCCCTTAGCCCCCTCGCCCCTTAATTCCCCTTCGCCGCCCCGTCCCCTTAGCCCCCTCGCCCTTAATTCCCCTTCGCCGCCCCCTCCCCTTAGCCCCTCGCCCTTAATTCCCCCTCGTCCCCTTAGCCCCCTCGCCCCTTAATTCCCCTTCCCCTCCCCTTAGCCCCCTCGCCCTTAATTCC